ACGCCGGGATTCGTTTCAGCAAGTAGATATCCATATATTTAAATGAACCTTGTTGGAGCATACGTAATCCTAAAATGTAGCATCGTACTACAGATGGCGTTTACCGCGCCATTTGTGGTATTTTTCAATAAATACCTTTACTTAAACGCCTACAACACGCCGAAAAATTGGTGATTTTTAATTAAAAATTTCTATTTGGTAAACGACAACATCCTCGTTTTAATCGTTAGCTTATTTCAAAATATTCTATCATTAAATATCTCAGCTCTACGATACCAACCTACCTAGTCTTGACTCATTAATATGTAGAACATTATTATACATACATATAGTGCCAGATGAAGTATATAAATCTGCATAATTTACCTCAACGATGTAACTTCAGCTTCAACATCAAGAGCTTCGCTTGAAAGTGTAGCAGACTGAATATTAGCAGACACTTTAGGTAAGCTCAAGGTCCCTCCCACATTACTTGTTAGAGCATTTGCTGACAACGATGTAAGGGCAAAGTTAGAGAATCCACTGACCTCCACCTTTTTGACATTGATGTCACCCCTGTAATAATACATTCAAGCTTTACTTTATAATTCAATAATAATAGGCCAGATTAAATATTTGACACTAACACACATTGTACGAGTTATTAGTGGCACGCAAAAGAGAAGCCATAATGATTTTGGTCTGAATGCATCAGATTTAGATTCATTAGCAATTTTGTTGGTTAAAATTTTTGGTTTTTGCTTTTGAACGGGATGTTAAGACTTCCCAACTTTTGATGTAGATAATTATTAAAATCATTTCTTGATGGTGTTCTCCATCCCATGGGAAGTACAAGCTTAAAATCAAATTGCAAAATCAAGATTGACAAAGATGAATATTGGCAAGATCTAAATCCATAGTGCAAAACCAAAATTAATGACGAGACTGTGCTTACAAGAGTGACACTCAAAATGTGTACCCAAATACATACTAAGACCGCACGAGACCAATACCATCTGAAAACTAAATGCGCAGTGTGATTTTTGCCTATAATTATTCATTTACTTAGTATCCCACTATGCTGATTCTATTTCTAGTTTGCAACTGTTTGACATACACTGGGTGTATTTTTCTTGAAAGAATGTTTCAAATTTAGATTTGTTACTTGAATTTTTGTGGTGCTTACAGTTCAGATACGGAGATGGATTTGTCCGTGAGCAACAGGGGATCGTAGTTAGCAATTTGTACTCTAAGGGATTCGACAGTTCTATTGATGGTATTGCTTAATATTGATCTAGTTTCATCTTCGTTTTCGGCCTTCAGTATGCCTGTAATTAAAGAACATTGTTATAGTATGCAGTACCTGTTGGTGGCGCGTCGAAGGAATATTAAAATACGCATAAAATAATTGGAAGTGGTCTGTATTGTGTCGAAACTGCCAGACGCGGATCGCGAGCATACGTAATCCTAAAATGTAGCATCGTACTACAGATGGCGTTTACCGCGCCATTTGTGGTATTTCCCCAAACGCGCTGTTAAGACAGCAGGTCAAAGTTAATCTGTGTTTTGTCGGAGCTGTCTGCGACGCGCTGATGAGATCCAAAAAGATCGAAATCGCGATCCGCGTCTTGCAGTTTCAACAGAATATAGACCACTTCGAATTATTTTATTCGATATGGTAACGTGCCTATCACGTAGTGGTTAGCTACGCTGGGATTCGTTTCAGCAAGTACATATCCATATATTTAAATGAACCTTGTTGGAACATACGTAATCCCAAAATGTAGCATCGTACTACAGATGGCGTTTACTGCGCCATTTGTGGTATTTTTCTATAAAAATACGCATTTTAAACCAGTACATGACTTGTGCAAGAGGACTGTCTCAGAATTAATCGGCCTGACAAACACAAAAAACTTGATAAAACCTATTTATTTCTCAGAATAGTCTCCTTTTGGCTCGATACACTATTGTCAGGGATTCTATAGCTTAGAGACTATATTTATGTAACAAACGTCGAGCTCCTCCAAATATCCATCTACTGCAGACATCAATTTCTTCATAGTTGGCAAATGTTTACTAATTCACTAAGAGCGTGACTATTAATGGCTGCTAATGAAGGAGCATAGTATCTTCAAACATGAAATTTAATCTTGCTAAGGTTGGTACTATCTACCGCAAACACTGTATTTTAACAACTACCACCATCTATATGTCAAGCCGATCAATTTTGAAACTGGCCTCCTATGTCCATAGATTGCGTCATAATACCGCAACAGTCTGCGTTTGAATGGTAAAGAACTTTCAACATGATATGCAATGGTTTGAAAATGGCAAAACTACTACACTAAAAATTACTAAGTTTTTAAATTTATTTCGGTGGTATCATGGTACAGTAGATAACGTGTAAGGTACTACTTTACGGTCATATGTATTAAAATAAAGGGTAGGTTATTGTTTACTTTAGTGGTCACACTTTCCGATTTTTTTGAAATTTTATTGTTATTGAGTTGAGCGTGCTAATCGAGAGTATATAATACACAGAGTGTTTCTGAAATAAGTAGCAAGCTTTGGAGTGTGTTAACTAAATAGGGAATCGCATGGTGAATGAGTTGGTAACGTATAGAGAAATTGCGATAACTACTAAGCAGCTATTTAGATGGAAAATGTAAACAGTGACGTTAGTGGAATGACTAATAAAATAAATATTAATAACTTACAACAACTCTACTACAGATAATTATCTTTAGATGCCCATTGCGTTAACAACCAATAAGGTAACAGTAATTTTATTAATATTCCAAACCGCAATTGAGGTATTATCAAGATGCGTTAAATTTTTTTATGGATGGTTCGTCCATAGCCCTATCCCATTAAAAAAAATTACCACCAGTAAATACACACGCACATACATACGTAAACTACAACAATTGGTTGTGAGTCGCGTAAAAAATAAGTTCGGCATTTGGCATATTTCATTTGCAGCGATCATACACGGTCGTGCAAATCATTAGCGTTATGTACTGGCGTTTGATACACGCGCTGTTTCATACATTTCCATACAAATTATTTAGATCAGGGCTATGTGGCGGTCAAGGTACAGAACTCGCCCAATTCAGCATCGAGGGAAATCTTCGTTTATAAAAAAATTACGCTTTGGTCAATTCGTGGGCTTTTCGGGCGTGGTCGAATTCTAATTGGAGACGATTCGCTATGCTTAATAGATGATGGCATCTTCAGTGCTTCACAATGTATGACCGGCGGCTGAATGGTTAATGTGGGATCTTGGGCGGCTACATTTGGCTGGTACTGCATTATCGTTATGTTTCGTTCCGCTAGATTGCACCGTTTGTTTTTTCTAAGCAGTGGTTTCCAGGCTTTGCTTATCTTTAACCCATCTTCTCTGTTAAGATTATACGGATATTCTGCAATTTCTAAGGCTTCTCTGCTAGCCAAAATTGTAATAGCCTGAAGTGCGTACTAACACTTGTGTATTTTCGGAGGAGATCCTGTGTCCTTCCCTCCTTCCAGGAATGTTCTGGTTAAGCGTATTTGTCTGGTTGGTGTAATCGCAAATGTCTTTCGTGTTCCTTTTTCCTTGTTGCGATCGTGCTTTTCGTCATGCCTACGTATGCCTTGGAATAATCTCCGCAAGAAATCAAGTAGTCCCCTGGTGTATGTAGTGGGTTGAATTAGTCTTTGGGGCTTCGTAGTAACTGGCGTATCTTCGTCGTAGGTGTGAAAATTGTTCTAATTTCAATTTTACATAGCAACTTAGAGATCCGATCTATTACGTTGTGGATATATGGCAAAGTTGTGATCATGGTTGACTCCTCCTTGTTGTTCACCGTTCTTGGTTCCCGGCTTGGTCTTATTGCTCGTTCGATGTTCTTTCAAGTGTAACCGTTGGTTAACAGTACGGTTCGTAGATATTGAAGCTCTTCTTGACGGTGTTTATCATCAGTTAACGTAAAAACTCGATGGATTAACGTTATGATCACGGCGTGCTTCTGTGCAGCGTGGTGGTGGTGGTGGATGGAAGCATTCTGTAGGTATCTGTCCGTTTACGTCTTTTTCCTGTAGATAACCCCTACTTAATCTTCCGGACAGTGTTCTTTTAACCAGAATATCCAAGAAAGGTAAGGTGTAATTTTTCTCCTCTTCCATTGTGAAGTTGATGTTATTGTCGACACATTGATCAACTTCTACTGACTTCGACTGTCTACATATATACATAAATACATCATACAAGCCTACAGTGTTAAAAAAACAGAAAACTACTCTATGTTGGCTGCGAAAATAAACATCCTCAAATACACTTAATCTAAGAAATAAAGGAAATACAGCACGGATGCTACTCAATAATAGATGATTGAATCATCATCATCATCATAAGGTCATCAGTCCTAAGACTGGTTGGACACGTACCTCCACTCTTTCCTATCCTGAGCTAAACTTCGCATTTCCCTAAAACTAGAACAGCCCACATCCTTAACTATTTGCGAACAGTAATCTAATCTAGGTCTACCTCTACCCCTCCTAACTCCTGTTTCTGCCTCTAATATGTCTCTGACTAGACCTTCATGCCTGAGAAGGTGTCCTACCAACCTATCTCGCCTATTTTTTATTGACTTCCATAGAGTCCTCTGTTCTCCTATTCTTTCCAATACCTCTTCATTTCTAACCTTTTCTACCCACGATATCCTCATCATCCGCCTATAACACCACATTTCGAACGCTTCTAACCTTTTCTTTTCCGCCGCTCCCACTGTCCATGTTTCGCACCCGTACAACGCCGTGCTCCAAACATACACCTTTAACAACCTTTTTCGAATTTCTAAATTAACCGTTCGCGAGCATAGAAGTGACTTCTTTTTATTAAAGGCGACACGACCCTGCGCTATCCTCTGCTTTATATCCCTACTACTCCTTCCATCCTCACTTATCTGACTTCCTAGGTATCTAAAATCAGCCACTTCTTCTAATTTTTCGTCTCCTATCTTTATATTCGCTCTTTCCCTACTTTTTCTTCCCTTGCATATCAGTATTTTAGTTTTACTTTTATTTATGATTGAATGCGACATTAGAATGTCCTATTTTCCTGGGTGAGTTTACCAGGACCGGATTGACCTTTTTCTGTAATTTAAAATAGGTTTTTATCGATCGGACAGCCAAACATTTACTTAATTTTCTTGTTTTATAGCGATCTATCACCTCTTGCATGCTTGCTACTTACTTTTGGAACACCCTGCATATGTTGTGTGCGGAAACCATTCCTTTGCATAGTTTTTGAACCGTAGTGAACTAAATCTACTAAAAATATTTTTTTTGTTGTTGGCACTGCCGTAAATAAAAGAAATGCACGACATCTAAAGTAAATAATTTTCAAACAAAACAAAACAGTAGACACTTTCATAAAAACCTGCCGCAGTGCACTTAATATTAAGCATCTACACAATTATCTAAAACTTGACCTTTCAATTACATTAAATAAAAGCAATTTATGTGCATGTTTTTAAGAATAATAGTTTTGGTACATTTTACATAATTTATATATCTAGAAATAGAATTTTACATACTTGCGCTGGTAAAACAAATGCAAGCGATTAAACCAAGAAGGATGGCTGTATTCATGATTACACTGTTAATTTGTCGAGATAAGATGTAACGATTATTCAGGATACTGATTTCGAGCACAGAAGTGGCATTTCTTATAAGGTGCTGCCTTATCTATGCTAAATAACTATTATGACGCTAGTTGATTTGATATTTTTATTGCTTTTTACATTTTTCTATCATAATTGAGTTTAGGTAAATAGCCGAGTCAAGAAGCTCGATAAACATTCGTTAATCAAACAGAAATGTCTTGTCAATTTTTTAATAATTGTTATTCGAAGTAACTGATAATTATAATCTAATTTGTGTGTGTAACAAATATCTGAATTATATTACAAAATTAGGTATTATTTCTTTGTGGCGTGTTAATAGTTGACATATTATTAGGCTGTACATATTCTTGTTTATTATCTCCTTACCCTTTTACTAGTTTAACTCATCTAAAGAACCTGCAGAAACGCAATCCTTATAAAAAATCTAGTCGAATCAGATTGACTGCAAATTGAGTATGATGTTCTTCATTACCTTCTGAGCAAAAGTTTTTATGGGCACGAAGTCACAAAATTAAAAGCAGCGCACGATTTTCGACCCATTTAATGCTTAATTAGTACGATATTCAATCTATTGTCCATTTTTTAAGTGTTAATACTAAACGTGTCTAACCGAAAATTACACTAATAAAACTGACTACACAACCATAACAACCCCTCTCTTTTTTGAAACCGGATGAAATAAAATTTGATATCAACCACATGCGCTTATCATTCAACATCATTTTATTATTGTTGTTTACTGAATTTTTAAAGGCGGAGTAATTTGTGAATAACAAAACCATAGAAATAAGTTAAATCTTAGTAAAGCTTATGAATAAAAGTAAATATTTGAAGTGCTCCTCGTTACTTAGCTTGACCGTGAGATTAAAGATTTCTCAATCATAACAAATTGCAACTAAAACGTTAATTAGTACGATATTCAATTTATTATCCATCGAGAACTTTAGTTGTTTTAGGTTGAAATACAAAAGTTATTGAATCTAAAGAGGAGCACGCAATTGTGACTTCTTCCGTGATTTTGATAACTGTCTCCAGAGTCATTTTGAGGTGATTTTTTTAAATGACCTCGCAGATAGCTAAAATCACGCTAGAGATTACTGTTTAGGCCTTATAACTCTTGTACATATGTCGAGTACCTGAAGAGATAACAAATCTGACGACCAATCCCGGAATATTCAGTAAACTATCCCCTAAGTTCGAGCATGTCAATCCCGACATAGTAGTTTTCGCGTTGGATGGAAGTCATTTCCTTGGAAAATCAGGAAGTAGACCAATCTCGAAATATTCAGTACACCATCCCTTAACTTCGAACACGTACATCCCGACATAGTGGTTGTCGCGTTGGATGGAAGCCATTTCCTTAAAAAATCAGGAAGCCACCATAATTGCCAGGGTTTTCTACACCAACCAGATTTCAGGGTTCGGCACACCGTTACGAATCAGAACCGACCAGGAAAGGCAGTTTGAGTCTAATCTGGTTAGGGAATGAAATATCCTAACAGTACGATTCTCATTAGGACCTCCGCATACTATCCGATAACCAACGGGATGGTCGAAAGGTTCAATTGTCAATTCAAATGTCACACCAACACTCAATGGACAAAGGATCGTTACTTACGATATCGTGCGAGTCCATTGTTAGAATTCAAAATCCCCTGCCTTTCCTCGTTCTGTAGGAAAGTTATTTATTCGGCATTTATTTACTATTTGGGCTAACTAAATATTAATGACATATATGTAGAATGAAACCAAAGAGGGCCGTTGGAAGAGGGCTTTTAAGTTAAAGTCAGTGGTGAAGTGGCAGTCGGCGTGTAAAGATGTGTAAAGCGCCTTAAGGGCGGTTGGTTACTTTGGTGAGAGAGTAAGATGCCGTAGGGCAGTTGGTTACTCTCGTGAGAGTAAGATGCCGTAAGGGCAGTGGTTACTCTGGTGAGAGAGTAAGGTGCCGTAAGGGCAGTTAATATTTGATAATATTGAGAAAGTTGGTTATTGTGCACATATTATGTATTTTAAGTGTTGTTGTTGTTGTTATTGTTGAAATGTAAGGCCTGTAGAAGTGTAAGGCCAACGGCCGACTGGTCGGATTTGCCTTTAGGTGGAGTGTAAATCCTGTGAGTCAGGTAGTCCACTGCAGATCTAGCTAGATATGCCTGGAGTGGCAGTGCACCTGTGGGTGACGTGTTAATGAGTAGAAGTCCACTCCTTGACCTGCCGTATACAGCAGTGGCCTGAGTGTCGGTAATGCTGCGGTGATATCGGCACAAGGGCGTCCAGTAGAGGGATAAGTCTCTACATATAGCTTGCCAATGTAAAGATAGGCATTGGGAGCGATCTATGCATTAGGCCAATGCATAGAATGCCTGGTTATTTAGCTTGGACCTAGGTGTGGCAAACACCTATTGTTTCAGACAGTCTACAATCGTCATCAGGGATTCTTCGTTGGACACAACTACATCACCGAGTTCGACTACGTTGGCACATCGCAAGGGCGAGCGCAAGCCGGTACCCTCGAAAGTTCATAGGCGGGTGGAAGTGACGCTAACAACCCTTTGACCATTTCACATCTTTAAGCCAATTGCCTTCCACTTCCCCTTAATTCCTGGTATTCCATCAAATAACACCAAACTAAAACCGTAAGAAAAACCCTTCCAACTAAGAATAGGTTATTCAGTTGATTCAATTCATTTATTCCATCTGTTGCGTCCTACTGCGTGTGTATTAAGTGTTTTCTTTATTCTACTTATATTCTTTTGTCTAGTTGTATATGTGTTTGTATAAAACTTTCTTTGCTTAGCTGATTATGTATAAGTAATATTTGGCGATTCTTGAAGTAGCATTTTTTTTGTTTTCATTCTACCTTGTTTGAGCTTTAGAAATAAGACAGTAAACCAAAACAAGTTTCACCCGCACAAATAGGTTGGGACCCCTTTCTGACACTCTTCAGGGTAAGTAACAACCACCGGCGATCGCCTGGAAATACCAATTTGTAAGGGTACCTCAGGAGTGTATAAGTGACGAGTGGACGGGCCTATTTGTACTGAGGCTGTTTCAACCAAATTTAGAAAAATTTTGAAGAAATGCAAATGTGATTCGATTCGAGTTTTTGTTTATACCAGTGTACCATCAACGATCAAAATACCAAAATATTATTTAAATTACCAAAGTAAAAGTACCCAAGTCTACAAGTGTTATATTCTTGAAATGTGTTATTAAACTACCTTTTTAAATCATAGTTACAAACATAAATATGTAAAAAAATAAACCTGCTATTGACTAACAGGACAAATATTAAAGATCATAAACACTGATTAATTTGACAGGTGGACTGGTTAACAAACATTACATGAAAATAATACTAATCTAATCCTAAGAAATACAACAAAAGTTAATTGGGTGTAAGTTCTTGTAAATATAGTTTAAATATTTTGTACATAAAAAAAAAAATAAGGGAAACGTAATACAAAGTGTTATAATTTACCAAAAACGTATATGAGGAAGTCACCGATATACTTCCACCATGGAACACCATCTCAGCCGATTCTCTCGATTCAGTCTGACGCTATCTCTTGAATCAGTCCTCAACAAATCTCGTTATTTACTACGCGTCTTCATTCTTATACTTTACTTGTGTGAACAGTTGTGTAAATATACATATGCGTTCTTATATAAATTGTGTACATAGTACACGCATTGTTATTCAATTTTGTCGTGCCGTTCTAAACGACAAAAACATAAATCAAAATTATGTACCGATGTATTTAGGTATCAGAAAGAATAGGAGAACAGAGGACTCTATGGAAGTCAATAAGAAATAGGCGAGATAGGTTAGTACAGAGCCGGGCAAAGTTTAACTTCGTAGGAGCCGCTACATGAGGTTAGTTTGAGTCACTCCATACCCTTCAATGAGTACGAGAGAGTAAGCAGTAATGAATAATTTTGTTTTGTCTTTTTCTTCTCCCTTCCACTCCCATATCAAGCCCCTTCATCCCGTAGACGAGCGAAGCCACTCTAGCAACTTAAATAATACCTACGAAAATTTTCGTTACTATAGTACGTATACGTTCGCAAAATTATTGGGTTTGGCTATGGAAGAGGGGACTCATCTACGAAAAGGAAGGGATAAGAAAAGGAAAGAATCATCTCACTCGCACTCGCAGGATCAATGAGGAGCTACTTGGTTAACCTTGAGGGGCACTCGGGGGTCAAAAGAGCCGAGTTTGCCCGGCTCTGGGTTAGTAGGACACCTTCTCAGGCATGAAGGTCTAGTCAGAGGCATATTAGAGGCAAACACGGAAGTTAGGAGAGGTAGAAGTAGACCTAAATTAGATTACTGTTCATAAATAGTTGAGGATGTGTTCTAGTTTTAAGGAAATGCGAAGATTAGCTCAGGATAGGAAAGAGTGGATTTACGTGCCCAACCAGTCTTGGGACTGATGATGAAGGATAATTTCCTGTTGGTTGAAATTATATTATTAATAAATACCTAAAATATGTTATTGTTGTAGTAACCTCAGGTTTACTAACTACTCATAAAACTAAATAAAACTGTTAAGACAAACAAATTTTTGTGAAATCATTCCACCACTTAATTGTGTTTTTATCATTTCCTTTATTATTGTACGTAGCAGCTTGTAAGGATTATAATATTGTAAACAAAAGCAAAAGTACTCAATGGCAGATAATTGTTATTTCGTAGTTATTTGTACATTATTATCGCCTGTTATTATTAATACGTGGAATTGATTAAGTGAATCAATTTTTTTTTTAAATTGTATTCCAGTCAACTATATTGAGGAATTATTTTATGATTTCCCTGTACATCTAGCACTTTTCGTTGAAAAAAAGACTCACTTTTACTAATTACTTTAATTATTATTATGTGCACTAATTTTCTAATATAAATTCTAGTATCTAAATATATTTACGATTTAAACTTTTAATAAAGAAATATTTTGAAATTGAAAAGATATGGTAGAATCGAACTGGACAAGATTAAAAAAACAAGTGTTCCAAAGGCGTCGTGTATC